AGCCCCGAGTTCCTGCGCCAATTTAATGGCAGTAGCGAAATTGTCGACAGCAAGACAAGTACTCCTCCAGCTCTACGTCCCGACATTGCCATACAATGTGAAAATATCTCTTTCTCTGGCAATTCCACCACGAGTCCGAGAAAGTCACCAATGTACCACAACTCTACTGCAGAAACAGAGGGTGGTATAGTGAGCGGCATGGATCAATCCACTGAGGGTATCAAGGCCGACATCAGCAGCTGCGACGTCAATAATCCTACTTTGCGAACGGTCAATACAACTGAGGAAGGTCTTGTCTGCTTTGGCATGGTTAGTTTTGTGACCAAGATCCATAGAGTGATAGGCTAAGGCACAGTGAAATACAAATAGGTCACAAATCTCTCTGTTTCATTGTTCTCTCCACTACAAAATCAAGCTCCGTCAATCACCAACATTTCATATGATCCATCCACAAACAGAGTGTCGAGCAAGGCCAATAAAGAAGCTATAGGTCATGTTGCAGACTTGGAACTCCAGCTGCAACTAAGGATTCATTCAACAGCGCCTGAACAATCTTTAGGAAGATCACGGATTGCGAAAGCTTCTACAGATATACACCATTGTATACGGTCCTACACACTTGTCAGAAGATGTCGGCGAGTTCTTTCAGCACAACAACTGTTATCTCCAGGAACCTCGGGGCTGTGACCGCAATGTTCCATACCGAAATCCTCACTGTATCTCAAGCATAGACCAGGAGGCACCTTTAACATTTGATCTGGAACAGCTGCAGGGTGACTATGAGCAAACTCCCATTCCAACTGACCTTCTCGCTAGACTGGAAACAGACGAGGTACTGTCAGAAGCTCAGGATCTTTCTTGCTACAAGAAGCTTTTATACTGATATTCTGATATCCTAGGGACAATTGATGTTGCACCCTGTACCTTTTGGCGGGAGCACCAGAGTGAATTCCCTGTTCTTGCTACTCTTGCTCGAGATATGCTCTCAATTCCTGCCACTGGTGCTGGGGTGGAGCGTATGTTTAATTATGCTCGGGATATCTGTCACTATCGTCGTGGCTCTCTCAATTCCACGACAATCCAAAATTTGATGATGTACATGTGCTCATCAAGGTTTGAGACGGAAGAGGAACTGCTTACATATCTCAACGAGTCCTTTGATAATGAGGATATGTTCTTTGAGGATGAGGAGCGGGTCTCTCCACTTCCTCAGAATAGTCTTTATCCGATCAGTGATAGTGAGGAGGATGATTTACTTACTGATCAGATCCACATTACAGGGGCAAACCAGCGAATGACCCAGAGTGAACGCGTACTTGGTAAGCGGCGAAGGAGCATTGCTTCGCAGCTAGAGAGTGATGCTCTTGACTCAGATGATGGCGCCGTCCTTCCCCTTCCTTCTATAGTACATATATGTATTCAAGTTGCATAAAAAACTGAAAGTAGATTGAAGGAATCATCACAAGTATATGTTGAATATAAAGGCGCAACTGGAGATCCAAACTGTCAGAAATGAAAGTAGCTATTTAAGAGACCATCGCCAAGTATATGTTGAATATAAAGGCGCAACTGAGCTTCCGGCTGTGTTTTGCTATCCAAGGCTTTGGATTAAGGCATCTTGCCTTGAAGTGCTCTTTCTTCGTGATAGCAATAACCGCCAGTAGTCTTCCATTCCTCCTTTGGAATGGCAACGGACCCGTCAAGGGTTCGATAACACCCTCGATGCTCCGATAGTTGTCCAACAAATCTGTAGCGGGAAGTGCCCGTAGAACCAGGAGCGGTCGTGGATTGTGGCTTTTTGCCCATGGAAGTGCCCGCAGAACTAGGAAAGTGTGCGTAGAGCAGATCCCATACACTTCCATGCTCAACTTCGCTCCATTCTAAAAAATACTATGGAATAAGACTCCCCCACTTCTCTTTATTTGATCTTGCAAGTATTCCGCAAGTCCTGGGGAGGAGCTTATTTTTCCTCGCAAATCTTCATACAGTACAATTCCGAATTTCTGATCAGTCTAAATAGGGTTCTATACTTAACTGTGACTGTTTATGCTATATTAAAGAGGTCTAAAATTCTAGCTGCCACATATATAAGGCTTACCTTAAAGTAACCCACCCGGAGCATTTCACAATCAAGTCATTCCTACAACTCTTAATGATGGATCAGGAAAAAGTTTTCATGGTAAAGCAGACTCTGTATTTGCTTCTCTTCCTACAATGGGTGTGCTATATCATGGTCGCTGGCTAACAGATTTACCCATGGCTTAGGTAAAGTTGAGGTGTATAGCGGACTAAATTCTGTATGAAGGATGACAATTACTAGACATGGATGTTTTTAAACAGTGATGGGATTCTCGGCTGCTTTAATACTTTAGGTTGAGTTCTCTGAGTAGGAACGAGGGAAAATTACACCTGAATGTGATTGTTTAATTTCATTTTAATTAGTCCGTTGCTCTGCTGCCAATCTAATTCAAAGCTATTGGTGATTGCATAATCTATACTCTGATACTATATATATGTTTGAAGAGCATACAAATGAGCTATCTTAATTTCTTCTATTAAGCTCCTAAAAATTACGGAGCACCTGTTGTCTTTAAATGTTTATTTATGGTTTTCTGTTTAATGTATAACTATCGCGCGGTGGTCTAGAGCAGAGGAGTTCAGTCCTTAGTTAATTTTCAGGGTTAGGGTTTAGCATAGTTACATAGCTTTATCTGCTATTAGATCATTTAGATAGATCCTATTTTCCAAATAATAGTAGAGAGATAGGCTTAAAGAGAGAAATAAGGTACATAGTTGAGCATTTTATAGTTTGCGTAGTTTGACCGTGCATGTCACAGTCTTTGATAGTGGAGGGACGTTATAACATATGCGGGGTTAAAACAATTATATAAATTACAGAGGACACCAAGTTTTGTGGCTGGTGGCTTGGCAGTGGCGCTTGGAGATTTAATGGGCGTCTATTGGTGAAACTGCTTTTGTAGCTTAAGGGAGCAAGGCAATATAAAAGTAAGTTAAAAGCAAGGCAAAACTTTTGGCTGTTAGGAAATAAATGCATAATGTCCTTCTATAGCGCTAAGTAGAGTTTTGATGATCCAACCCTATATTGTGATAGGGGCAGTAATGCGTAGAGCATTTCTAGGATTTGAATTGTGTAGATCCCTCAACGGATATATCATCTCTGTAAGGCGTGCGCGATTGAGGTGTCTGAGATCTGCCTGACTCAGCTTCTTTAATTAATTCACAGGGAAGAAGGCGCCTGCATACTCGACTGAATAAAGAAATGCTAATTATTGTAATAGTAGTGGCCAGACCTGCCACAGTAATCTGTAGAAGGTAAGAGTTGATAGAATGCGGGGAAGAATGTAACTTAACTAGTGCGGCAATAAAGACCGCAGCTGATAAAATAATCAGTAAGAATGGGATCCAGAGGGCGAAATATTCTAAGGAATATGTCATGTCGAGAAAATTGAAGAGAAACTGAGTCACTAGGTTCATTATAGCTCCCAGCACGGCAAGAGTTGCAGAGATGAACCAGAGGTCTGATCCTGTGTTTTCACCCCCTTCCATAGGGAAAATACATAGTACGTCAACGGCGATTAGAGCGAATGCCACAGATGAGATACTATAGGTTATTTGCAGAAATCGCTGACCTAGGACACTTCGCGCGTATAGCAAATCTGAATTCATGTATCGTATACCACTTCCTAAACGAACTTAGAGCCTCGTCGGGGCCTGCCGTGGCCTAGTAGCCGTTGCTTTTAGATTGCTGCCCTCAAGGCGCGCGGCTTCGGAACCGTTGTGATGCTTCCGCAAAGTCCAAGACAGCCTCCACCGTCTTCGCTCGCGAAGTGGTATCGCCCTCCAGCGTCGGAGATCGACTGGCACGCGGGTGAAATCCGCCACCATCCTCAGTAATAGTATGTCGGCATTACAAGCAATCCAGAACCCGGGGAACAAGTCCGGACAACAGATCATCCACGCCATCCTACGAGCAGCCATAAATACCAAGACCCGCGGTATCGCGGTTAGCTTGCAGTGGATACCGGGGCATTACGACGAACCTGGGAACGAGACAGCAGATCAGTTGGCCAAAGACGCAGCCATACCGGGCCAAACCCACCCGTTTTCCTTCTTGCTATCGCGCGAGAGGGCCCACATCAGGAAGGGCATCCACGCCCAATGGGAAAGGGAATGGAAAGGGTCTCGGAATGGCGGCCACCTTCGCAAGATCGACAACGCACTGCCGGCTAAATACACGAGACGACTCTATGGATCTCTGCCTCGAAATCGAGCCTACCTACTGACGCAGCTGCGGACGGGACATTGCTGGTTATCATCATATGCCAAGACTTTCCATTTTCGTGACGACGACCGGTGCGTCTGCGGCGAGCGGGAAAGTGTGACCCACGTTCTTCTGGACTGCCCTGAGCTCAGGCACCTGCGCCGAGAGCTCTGGGAGAAAGTTGGCGACGCATTTAATAGCGTGTTAACCTTACTAGGAGGACCTGGAGAAGGAGGGAGAGGTAAGCGCGATACCACTTCGCGAGCGAAGACGGTGGAGGCTGTATGGTCTGCACCAGATTCCCCATTCCCTTTCCCTGGTACTTGGTAGTTTACTTGGCTGACACATGGACACAGAGGTCCGACTCCCCAATAACTGGCGGGAAACTGTCAAGGCCGTTCCTGCAGATCAAGTTGAAGATTTGCTTGAGCAAAGAACAGCTGAGATGTTGGGGTAGACGAGCAGCCCACCCCGACTTCAATGAATCTAGCCTCCTCGGCAACTCAACACTCCAAGGAAACAACTAGGAATCCCAGCATTTGAACTACCACCACCATCACGCTGGCCACCATGGTCATTGGCACCGGTAGGGTTATGTCTCGGTGTGCATATATGTCCATTTTAGCAATATTAATGGAATCCAGAAGTTTTTTTGTATGTTGGGGTGTAGTTGATTCATATCTGGTTCTCTATACGAAAAAGACAAGTCATACTTTGGTCAGCTGATCTGTCCCTGATATATACGTGTCCGAATATAATATGCATCTTGAGGATCAATCAAGCGTGCGTGATCATAGTCTGCCTCATTTCCTGCGGCTTCCATCTCCAGGTATCCCGGTGCGTAGATCTCAATGTCCTCCGTCCACCCGTCCCGGGCGCCATCAAACCCGAAGAGAAACTCGCGACGGGCCTTGGCTCCCTCCAGGATATCGATCACGGGTTGGGTCATATCCAGACTACTGTTAGGTTAGCCATCACAGATATATCATGTTGTTCTTATTTCCTTCTTGGGTCACATACTCGGAGTTCTTCTCATCCCCCCCGCCAACCCCGTCCCATTTCACCTGCCCAAGGTCCCTGCAACCGGTACAGTACTCCAGATACACAGGCCACATATTGCAAGCCCGTCGACGGAAGGATTCCCGGACTTGGCCGTTCCGCTTGAACTCGACGATGGTGATGTGGCCGGTATCCAGATCATCCGCCGTAACCAGGAACCAAGGACATAGCCGTCTCATGAACAGGACCGTGCCTCGTCGGGTCATGGTCATAGCATCATAATTGGCCATTTAGAGGATGGCCCTTGGCAGCACGTCAGTGATCTGGACTGTGGAGGGGTCGGGAAATGTCGCAGGGTTGGAATCAATGCCACCGTGATCAGACCCGTAGCGGTCAAGGCAATGCCCCATTTCACCGTCCAACCGGCAAGAGAGAATGTATAGCTTGATCCATTTGGACCGGTTAAATCGGTAGGACGGGCCCAGCGGTGGTAGGCACATGAAACTGGGAGAGTCGTAGTAATGGTGGGCATTCTCCAGGATCTCTTTAGGGTAGTCCAGTGCGTTCCTCAATGGGGCTCGCTGATGATATGACTGTAGTTCATTTTTGTTAGTTTTTTTCTTTCTTTTTTTGCTTGCAGTTCAATTGATGAGGAGGGGGAAAGCATACATCACGGAACTCTTGGCTGGCTTTTGCCCATGTCTCCACTAGTGCTCGTCGTTGGCGAACCTCGTAATCTCCATCTTCGTCAGGGATGTTGGCGATTGCACGGGGGACCCACTGTTCCTGAAATCATCAAATATGAAAGCTTATTATGATTGCTTTTCTATTTATAGCACACAAAGTTTGGGGCAGAATTTCTTACCTCCACAAAGAGTAACCACCCTTTGGCCTCCTCACTGGCCTGTTCGGGGGTGATGTCGCCGTTGGCATCTAGCTGGATCGCGGGGGGAATGCCACCCGGCCAGTGGAAGGGACGGGAGGGGGGAGCAACCATGATGTTGCGTCAGGAGATGGAAGATGATTTTTGTTCCTCACAGAAGCAGCAAACAAAATGAGATTCAAGCCCGGGAGTTGGCGGGAGGCTGGAAGAGCACTAATAAGCATTAGTAGACCTTCCAGTACCAAAGCTTAGTGTCTTAATGTGAAATGAAAAGTGGCCCAGGAGTGGGGTATGCAGTAGCTAACTGAATGTCCTTTAGCCTCATCTCTATAACCGCCTGATGAAGCAGTTAAATGCTAATGAAGCACCCATCATAATGTTTAAATTTCTCTCTAAGCTTGTCATGAATCAAAATAAATATCTCTTAAAACACATTACCATCATGGCTAGATTGAACTAGACCTTGCCATCTCCTGATAACATCTTCCCGCTCTTCAAGTGAGGAGCACTGATATTCACTCACTCCTTGAGCAATTCGTGCACACTTAATGTGACCTTGTTTTCCTTCAGATAGGGCCTGTTGAAGGTACTTATGCAGACCAGCCAATGGATATGCTGCTACCCCGAAAAGTCCTGTGCAAGACTTAGCATACTACCATCTGCTTCCGGCGCCAGTGACGCTCGAGGAGATGAGGAACTATGGACGAACCTGCCATTGGTTTGGACAGAAACCCTGCAAGTCCATTCCCAACGCCATGAAACAAGCCTTTAACTCCCGAATCTTTAAGACCCCGGTGAGGATGGGTAACCAATCCGCTGACACCGTCGTATACGCCAAACATAAGCTCCTGCATGACAATGAGCGATGTTAGCAGCTGGAGCTGTCGCAAAGAGGGCTAGACAGAAGAGATGTTGACGACATACCTTTCCTGCTGCTTGTAGTCCACTTTGCATTCCAGTCACCTTTGGAAAATCCCTCACAGTATCATCGTGAAAGACCAGTGGCACATTATGAAAACCTCTAGATATTGTAAGAGTGATCTCCATTGGGGGTATGGTCAAAATGTTCAGGACCTCTTGGGCCAGACGGCCTGTACGAGCAGCTGCCTTGGGAAGAAATTGGGCAGGCTTCGACGGGTATTGCTTTTCTCGCATTTTATCGCGCCTATTGGGCAATATACTCGCCGTATCACAGGCAGCCGTAACCAGGGACGGGTTGTGAGCGAAGACGCCACCGGGATCCTCAGAAGATGCTACTAGCTCATTTATAATCGCCTCAGCTTCGACGTTCTGGCCTCTTCCGCTAGCATCTTTGCGAAAGCGTTTCCCCGAAATGACAGTAAAGATCTCTGAAGAGACATCGCCGACATCTATCATGAGCTTGGCCATGCTACCTATTAGCACCTGCGACAGTGCACTGAGTGGAGTTTCAGGGTCTCTGGCAGTGTCGTATTCTTCGGAGCGGTATCTATGCCTTTCAGCAACTTCAACGTGAGGACACAGGAAGATCAGTTTTCACCTACAGCTTAAGATTACGTACTTTCATGAGCCCAGCCTCTGCCAATACAGTCATTGCAAAGGCGCTTAAGGCGACATCAGGGCCCTTCAGCCACCACACCGCTGGTCGGGACGGGCACAGAGCGCACCTTATTCGCGCATCATGTAAGTGGCGGTGAAAACTGGAGATAGCGGCTTCTGTTCCGGATTCTTGTTTTATAACATTACTAAGTTCATGGGCCTTTTGGCGGGAAGACGGTTGCAGAGCCACCAGAATGGCGTCCGCAAGCTTGTCCACTGGGAGCTCTCTGTAAGGGATTGGAGGCGGACCAACTCCATGGCGAGCGACTATGGATCCCCACAAAGGCTGGTCGCCAAAAAATGGAACAATGACAGTTGGACATCCTAGTTTCAACCCGGCAGCTGTAGTCCCAGCACCCCCGTGGTGAACAACGCAGGAGACGTGCTTGAATAACCAGTCATGAGGACAGCTGCCGAGTAGGAATATATTCTCAGGAATATTTACTTCATTCGCTCCCAGTCCCCCCCAGCCCTTGGAGATAATGGCGCGCTGGCCCGTCTTTTGGATAGCCTTGAATACAATATGGCTCAATTCTTGCGGATTTTCCACGACAATGGATCCGAATCCTACATATACTGGGGGTGAACCCGCGTGTAGGAAAGCAAGCAGGTCGTCTGGAGGCGTGTAGTTGCTTGCTGAGGCGAGAAAGGCAAACCCACAAACATCAATATCACTGGACCAATCCCGTGGCTTGGGAAGGAGAGCAGCAGACCTGAATCATCTTCTCAGTCCAACTTCATTTTATGAGGTAGCAGATACCTTACCACAGATAAGCATGCGGAACATGTAACCGATGCACAAGAGCCAGTGCTTGTGCAGTATCCAAGATATCTAGGCCCAGTATTTTCCTGCGGAATCTGTTGATGATATCGCCAAGGCCCTGCCAAATGAGCATATCCACAACGGCGTAGGACACGAAATTCGCCACTGTCGGCTTGGTGCTATACCGTCGGATGCTGGCAAGCGGGTGACCATGGCATCCTGTTCAGAATAAAGTTGACTTAGCATCTTCTCTAATGTCACCAGTCGCTGCCTTGATAGGAACTGACGTAAACATTATAGTAAGTGGAATCCCCAGGTTCTCCGCACAGTGAATATGAGCAAGACTTGGTGGGTTGGCCACGATTGCATCAGCCACAAAGGGTGCTGTGAGACAACCTCCATCAGTCGCGGAATCATCCGAGGCCTGATCCCCCTGTGTCCCATCTCCAGTCTCAAAACATGAACGCCAGCAGCCGCTGATAATGTCGCCCATGTCGCGTCGATGTTGTTTGATGGCTCCGCTTCGGATGGTCTTGAATTCAGGTAACAGCCCTGCATTTTTTACCATAAACATCATCAACTCTTCAGGGTTACCTCCAATGTTGAAAAACTCCAAGCCGCTCTCCCTGACCATGCTCCTAAACGCCAAATGTGTTGCCAGTCGCACGCGATGGCCGTATCGTTTCAAGGACTTGCCGAGTACAATGAAGGGTTGGATATCCCCACGAGACCCTATGACATGAATCACGATGTTGAGATAGAGGGGAGGTGCACCCTCTTCCTCGAAATTGGTAACTGGAGGTGGTACCTGCTCAATAGGTTCGCTACCAGATGACGGGTAACCATAAGTCTGGATTCGAGCAAACAGTCTCGCAAGGTTCTGTTCGGTCAAGTCAAGGTCTAAGCGTCCCGATCCTAAATATTGAAGCACCTCGTTATCACAATTAGACGTTCGACTTCAGAGATTGTATGCCACACCGGTGACCTCAGACGCTCTCACCTGATAGTGTAGCAACTGAGTCTAGCCTCTTCCTCCATAAGTTGACCCGCCTGGAAATCCCCAAGTTGCCCGAGGGAATATCGCCTGTTAGTTGTGCGGTGGCCATAGCTTTCAGCAACACAGAAGTTGTGCGCTACAATGTGGATAAGAAACCCATTGAGAGTCCTGAGGGCCAAAAAGATCGGTTGCAGTCTGGACTGTGTTTTAACGTTCACTCTCAGCTACAATTCATGACCTTAAGCCTCAAAGTACAGAAGAAAAGACTCGCAGTCCATCTCCCTGTCGGAGTAGCTGGAGATGAACAGACGGGGCGTAAAACTTATTTATTATAGAAACAATTAAAGTGATATGTATCCTTGGTTGTTCAAACATGTGTTTCCATGGGTTTGTGAAACCGAGTCAATGACGCTGTAACCCAGGGAACCCCGCACTGTCTACTATGTCTGTACCATGTTTCTTCGAAAGTCCAGCCATAGCGAATCCTTACAAGTGGTGTGATCTACACCCAGAAGAGAGACATACTTTGGGCTGGGATAGGTCAAACATCAGCTGCACTTCCTCCTTCATAAGAAATGACATCAACAAGAGGTGCTTCAATCACACCATCATCATATATGATGTTATAGTTCTATTTTGAATAATGTTTGTCCCTGATTGCACTTTGAAAATTAACATGAGTAAAGGTTTATCTTATATATCCTGTTAATAATACCCCTTGACCTACTACTTAATAGGATATACCACTTAACCAGCATTTCCAGTGTGTCTATTCCTACTCCTGCCCATAGCAATGAAATCTGAGAGACGGACTTCTGTACATGACTTGGGCAGGCTAAGCCTTCAGCTGCAGAAGGACAGCTGGCATGGGCCACCGTTCAATGTACGCTGTTATTCATATTTCAATAGGAAGTTAGCCCTCTTACTGACGGTGTAGGCCATCTACGCTGGTATCGCGACTCATTTTCATGTGTTCTCTTCTGGAGCGTCCTTTGCCATTGCCGTGCGCGATAGCTCCTACTTACTAGACTTTGCGCAGTATGATTTCCGCTCAGGCAATCGGTACCAGGGTTGGCTGGAATTTTCAAATTTCATCCTGGCCAAGTTGAGAGAGTATCAGGAAGAGCACTGCGAGAAGTTCATCGGCGTGGCGATGCAGGCTGAATTAGCTGAGAGGTGCCCTGAGCTCTGTTCCCTGCTTTGGCTTGAGCTCGACATCATCCCCATCGTACTGCGCAAAGCAGAGGAGCATGTGAGTTGGGGCTTGTACGAGCAAGACATATCGTATAAGTCGTTGGATGAGCAAGCGGAGTCAATTGCAAGAAAATGCATTCGGTAAGGATTCCTTTTCTTTCTGCCTTCGTGATTGAGGACCTCACTCTTGCCCAGGTTTTTCGGTCCCAGCCAGGCGCCTGTTCCGGAGATCGGGCTTCGAGGTCTCGTCGAGGTTGATGCCGCATTCCATGTGAGACTCACGAGGCTTGCTGATTACGAGAAAACCGTCGGAGCCGCAACATGGACTGCCGTGAACAAGTATGCGAGTGATCTGAAACAACGCAGAGTGAAAATAGCCTTCTTCAGTGCGACTCCGCAGGGCGGTGGTGTGGCGCTCATGCGCCATGCCATGGTTAGGTTTGCGAAAGCAATTGGAGTTGATCTTAAGTGGTAAGGTTTCACCGGACTCGGTTCTCAGTAGCAAGTCTCTTTGTTTTCCGCTCACGAAGTGCGACAGGTATGTCCCGAAACCACGACATGGTATCTTCCGCATCACCAAGAACAACCATAATATTCTGCAAGGTGTAGCCGCTCCCGGAACACGATTCACCAAGGAGGACAGAGATGTCCTTTCCGGTTGGGTGCTTGAAAACGCAAAACGATATTGGCTCAGAGCAGAAGGATCACAGATTCCTGCATTGCTCGAGAAGTTTGGCCCACAAGTCTATCCCTGGCTTACAAAACATGGCCCGCCTCCTCCCCCCTGGTTCCAGAAGAATGGCCCTTTGGTTCCTCCATGGGAGGGCGGCGCAGATGTGATCATCATCGATGACCCGCAGCTACCGTTCTTGATTCCATTGATCAAGGAACAGACTTTGGATCGGCCAGTCATCTTTCGTAGTCATATACAGATCAGAAGTGATTTGACGGACACTCCCGGGACTCCCCAGGCTGAAGCCTGGGGGTTGTTGTGGGAGGCGATCAAGCAGGCAGATCTGTTCATCAGTCACCCTGTGCGTGCATTTGTCCCAAAGGATGTACCTCAACAGAAGCTTGGATATCTTCCAGCGTCAACAGATTGGCTGGATGGGCTGAACAAGCCAATGACAGACTGGACCGCCAGTTACTATGGGCGGATCTTCAACTCTAAGTGTAGAGAGCAATTCATGACGAACATTAAATTCCCAGATGGTCAGCAACCCCTCTTATCCTTTTCTCTTCTCTTCGTCGGGCTGGGGACCACTGACATTCTGCTGAACCTAGAGGAATATATCGTCCAAGTTGCCCGGTTTGACCCTTCCAAAGGGATCCAAGATGTGCTCATCTCGTACGGGGCATTCCACCGGTGTCTTGTTGAATCATGTCCGGACTTGAAGCCTCCAAAATTGCTGATCTGTGGACACGGATCAGTGGATGATCCAGACGGCTCACTGGTCTGGGATACCACCTTGGATTTCATCGAGCAGCATCTGAAACACTTGCAGTCACTCATCTGCGTCATGCGCATTGGCCCTAGTGACCAGATGCTTCATACGCTCCTGTCCAGAGCGAAGATTGCCCTCCAGCTCTCCACTCGGGAGGGATTTGAGGTAAAAGTCTCAGAGGCACTACACATAGGCAAGCCTGTAATTGCGACTCGAGCTGGTGGGATTCCTTTACAAATCCAACACGGCGAAAATGGGTTCCTGGTGGATGTTGGTGACACTAATGCGGTAGCGGAGCATCTACTTGAACTCTGGACAGATCCAGAGTTGTATGACCGTATGAGCGGGTACGCAGCGAAGAGCGTGAGTGATGAAGTCAGTACGGTGGGTAACATCTTGTCGTGGCTATACCTGGGGTCGAAGCTATCAAAGGGTGAGAACATTCAGCCCAACGGAAGGTGGATAAACGACCTGGCCCGTGAAGAAGCAAATGAGCCGTACCAGATGGACGAGAACAGGCTCAAGAGAGAATTGACAACATGATATGGATTTCGATTCAAAATTCGGTTGAGGTGCAATTGGTGTCAAAATTTAATGTCAGCGAAATAGCGCTGCTCAAAAGAGCGGATGAAAATACTACTCTCATCAGACTCCAAGGTTATCCAGTGAAGTATGGGTAGTATCAGATGTTTATACTTCGAAAAATCACCTCATGTAGATGTCTCAGCAATTTTGATGCTATGTACGACATTAGGCCACAGTATATTTCTACGCAATCCGTTTTGCTTGCGGATTGTTCATAAGCAACATCCTTTAAATCTAGCAAGAGCTTTGATTTCTTTTATTTCAAAGAGCCCTCACCGGTAACCTCATAATGATACTATTCCTAGCCACCGTGAGTACCAGAGAGGATGAGCTTGTGGAGACAACAATGTTTGAATTATAGTATGTAGTGCCAACACTAAATAGACACACAATCAGCAGAACAATGACTATCACCATTAAGAATTTCAGAGACAAGCATGCTGTCATGTTAATTAGTCCTCGTGGTTGATCGCTATTGATCAGCCTAACGTCTAAACCCACGTCACCCCGGCCAGGAAAAAAGTGCACAGCAGTCGAACCGCGCATTTAGCCCTGACATTCAGAGGACGCGGCTATTCTCAGCCCTCTTCTCTGGCGGGACGCTTCCGGATCTTCTTCTAAACAGTCTATGCAAGACTTTTCCACAGGCAGTCACTACCCAGGGAAGCAACGTTGGCTTGTAGTGGCGAACACGGAAAACATAGTACAACACTGCAGCCCCGGCGATGTTGAAACCAATATACGCCCAGCCAATCCCGAAGTTGCGCCAGCGTTGACTGTAGTCTGATGTATGACCATGATTAGCACTCGAATGGCCACTAAGCAGTCACATAGAGTTCGCATAAAACAGACTTGCCACTTACAGATCTTGCTTAGAGCCAGGTACTGGTCTGCGGTAGTAAAAGCACAGAACTCGCATCCTGACGTGGCAGATGGGTTATAGAGTTGGCCTGTCGAGACACTCAACCAGTCCGCAAGGTATTGACCGCATGTCTGGCCTTGAGGCGGAGAAAATACACTGAGCTCCCTGCCAGAACAGCGAACTTGCTGCCCGTGGAGTGCATTGCCGCACAGTCCCGCCACCAAATATGTCAGGGGCGAGACACGGTACATGAAAATCCAGAAACCGGGAAGTGCAGTTGGAGTCTGCATGACTCCGTTGAATGTTAGGATGAGGGCAAAGGACATTGTTGCAACGGTTCCTGTTCAGTGTTGGAATAGTGTCAGCTAGGATTCTCACTGGGTTATTGCTTATTGTCAAACTGGGGGATATTCTACCTGCAGTCTCGGCATCCGGCAATGAGGAAATCACCAGGTCTGCGAAGGTCGAAGTGAAGAGGAAGAATTGAATCACAAGTAGTAGCATTAGTCCCTGCTTATCCGAGCTCTGCTTTGCACCGTAAATAGGGTAGTAGTAGCTCGCCCAGACGAGAACTCCGAGAAAGATCTGGTATGGAATTTCCACAACGACATTCGAGACAACGAAGGCCACCCATGAGTAAGTCTTGGATGGCCGTTCGCGAGCCTCGTACAACGAACGCTGAGTGACGAATTTGGGCATGATCCTGTCGGCTCTGTTAGGCGCAAGTGCTTCAAATATTAGATTTCATGGATCCATGGATCAGACTTACTGTTGGACCAACGTGGAGAAAATTGAAGTCAACATGAACGAACTGAATAGACGGTTCTGTATCCCCTGAATAGACTGTCCTGGCAAGAAGTAGGAAAAGCCGATGAACAAAGCCGAAACGACACCTAGCATGAACTTTGCCCCGATATAGGCAGGCTCACGCCAGTACTGCTGAAATACCCGGCGAGTTACCCACCACAGCTGAGCGACGAGCGGCATGGCATATTCTCCCTGTTCGTCAGACCGTTTCTCCATCAGTGCCGTGCCGCCATTAGGAACGGATCCCGTGGCACGGATGCGACCTAATTCGGCTTTCACTTCGAGGGCTTCAGGGCTTTCTTTCCAAACTACCGGCCAGTCTTTGGTAGCCTGGCCAGCTGCACCGGCGCCAATGATTTCCAACATGTATTCAGCAGGCTGACACAGGATATTAGAAACTCGCAGCAGACTTTTAGAAAGATGGAGGATTGGACTTACATTCTCGGATGGGTCACACTTCCTTGCTCCGTTCCGCTCGAAATAGTCCAGCAGTGTTCTGGATTGCTCCCCAATCTCGCCAAAGTAGACGGTTTTCCCACCTTTGGCCAGGAAGAGAAGCCAATCGAACTGCTGGAATAGGATGGCGCTTGGCTGGTGTATCGTCGAGAGAACTGCCTGTCCGTTATCTGCAAGCTTACGGAGAAAGGCACAGATAGACCATGCACTTTGCGAATCTAAACCGCTCGTGGGCTCATCAAGAAATAGGAGAAGCTCGGGCTTGGCTGCAAGTTCGACACCAATGGTCAAGAGTTTCCGCTGCTCCACATTGAGGCCTTCGCCTGGCGTACCGACGACGGCCTCCGCAAAGTCCTTCATATTCAGCATCTTGATGACTTGCTCCACGTAGTCATACTTCTCTGCCTTGGAAACGTGCTTGGGCTGCCGGAGCATGGCGCTAAATCTCAAGGCCTCTCGTACAGTAGACGTAACTAGATGAAGATCTTGCTGCTGTACATACCCGGTTTGTCGTTGAAAGCTCGCTGGTAGAGAAGATCCGTTAACCAACATGTCACCAGTGACCACCCCAATAGAAACCCGTTGTGCAAGCACATCCAGCAACGTGGTTTTCCCTGCTCCAGACACGCCCATTAGCGCTGTAAGAGTTCCTGGCTTGACCCATCCGCAAACATGATCGAGAAGGCGGCGTTGTCCTCCTTTCACTGGGATGTCGTAACAGAGGTCCTGCCAGGTAAAGATGCTCTGCTGCTGTGGCATGACTGTACTCAATTCAACGGGCTCTCCGTTCTCTGCCAGGGGCTCCAGTGCCAGTGTTTGGGAGGTAGGAGTCTTCTCTGTATCCTGAACGGTTGGTTGCATGTAGGCAGGAATGTGACCTCGGCGGAAGACGAGGAATTCAGCTGTGGACGTCGTGGCGGAATTCAACTCTGTGGCAAGGAGATAGATGCAAGTGAAGAAGGCCCAGAAAGCGATGAGGATGCCGAGATTCCTCCATTCGTGGGAGTAGCTGTAGCGGTACTGCGCGTAGATGAAGGAATCACCAGACACGGTTCGTGCCCCTGCAACGGACCCAGGCACGGAGCAAATAAAGGCATCGCCGGATAAGCTTGGGTATCCAGGAATAAACTGAGAACATTCGAAATTTTGCCCATGGAATTCATTGGCAATGAGGCTCTCGAAGGTATAGAAGAGAGGGTTGATCCATCGTAACCAAGAGAACCAGGGATGCATCTCTGGCGCGGGAATCACGAATCCTGCATAGATGACAATAATGAGGATCATGACTCCGGCCAAAGCCATGGCCTGGGCAACACTTCGCGTCAATGCGGCCAAAGTACGGAAGACAGCCGACATGATCATAGTGGAAAGGAAGCTGAAGAGAAAGAAGATGAAAAATTGGGATGCAGTATAGCGCTTTCATATCTGTCAGAGATGGATAGTTTCATACGCATTTGGGGGTTTTCCTTACCAGACTTCCAAGAAAATATATGGTTACATTGAACAATACTGCAGAAGCAAGCTTGATGGGTAGATCTGCCATGATCCCCCCAAAAGCCTCTGCAAAAGGGTGGACAAAGGCATAGGAAGCTTGCTTCTCCACTATAGGACGCTGATCATAGAGGGAATTGATTTCCGTCACGCTTATCAGGGCATTGAGTCTGCCAGCACGGTCAAGGTCAGCCGAGGGTTCATCAGATCTCGACAGGAGATCATCGGGCTTACAGGACGGCAAAAAAGAGCAGTGAACCTTTGGCGAAGAAACCAGCAGTGGCATCTGGAGTGCTGCAGGATATAGTCAGAATTGATCAAATCAACGGGCCGTGATGGGATTACAATGGTCTTACCCGAAGAAAATCGATGCAACAACCAGAGACATAACGATTCGACCCACAAGCAACGTCAGGGTTGAAGCTTTGTCATTCCATATCCTAAGGAAGCCAAATTGTTATTGATTCTTCTGTTCCACCAAAGCGAGAGGCATAATCCTGGTGTCAGATAGCAGTTGGACGTACCTCTGATAGGCCCGTATCATACACAGTTTGAGTTGCATTGGAACAGAGATGAGATATGGACTTTTTGGCCGGACGTGCTTTGCCTGCTCCATGCGCTTCCCAGCTGTGACATCCTCTTGCCCGTGGCCTCCGAGAGAATATTCAGACTCGTACTGTCTGATTTCTTCGAGGAGGGCCGCGTATTCAGGGCTCTTCTTCCAGTAGCTCTCGAACTCTTCAGGAGTCCGCGGAACCGCATCCTCCATCCCTTCTCGGGCCTTACGCTCGTGAGGGTTGGTAACGGAAGTAAGAAAGTCTCCAACCGTCTGTCGAGGAGGATTTATCCAACCCATCGTGACAAAATATTTCTCCGCCTGCTTGCATGGTCCGAAGTAGATTTCCCGGCCTTCATACAAGACAATCACCTTGTCGAAGACGTCATAGATTGCTTGAGATGCCTGGTAGGTGGCTACAGCATGGCAGCTTCCGGTTAGATCGGCGGATATTCGCAGTGCCTTCACAAATTCCAGAGCACTGGCAGCATCAAGACCCCGTGTGCTGTTATCCCAAGCAGCAAGGGGAGCTCGTGCGACTGCAACAAGCAAGGAAGACAACATGTTAGCCAAGTTCACCCTCGAATGTCTCAGATCTCTTAGGGCAGGGGTTCCATCTTACGCGCCATCTCCGCGATACTGTGATATAGATTGTCAGCCGCCACTCGTACTTGGAAAATATAGGGCAGACGGTTGAGATTAAGGGTTAGTACCTGACACGCTTTCGCTCTCCACCAGATACTCCTCGAATATAATCGTCCCCAACTGCGAAATTCGACTCAGCTGATGCATGGACCGGACAAATCACCTGTTAGGACTGACCTCTGGTGTTATAGGTATGGGACAGGCCCAGCACTGCCATGGCCACCTGTGTTGTCTCTTTGACATATTGCTTGCGAGACACCCCGGACAGCCGATGAGATGGTGTTCTGGCTGACGCAGCGAATTCCAGCGTCTCGCCGACGGTCAAATGGGGAAAATGTTTGTCCACCTCCTGGTTATAGACGCATTCCCCTTTGAACTCCTTGTGCATCCGTTTCATAGGAATCCCGTTGTAGTGCATAACCGAGCCCGGATGCAACTCGAGCCCGTGCAACTCGCCGCAGATTGTCTTCTGGAACGTCGAGCAGCCGCTGCCCGGTCGACCGAGAACCATGAGCATCTCGCCGCTTCTCAGCACACCATCGAAATTATGCAGGATCTGCCTCCTGGGCGCTGAATGTATCACGCCTCTGTAGCTGTCTGCACGAAATGGGGCTGATAGAGCCGAGTCCACCGTTTCTTGAAGCTGTAGCGCTGCGCCCGACCCGGATACATTGAGATTTTTGAAGACCACCCCCGCATGCTTACGCAAGATGCCTTCCTCGTCAAGCTGGTTGAGCTTGGTGCGAGCCCATTTGTAGGGTTCGAATTCTTTCCTGGTCGGGTCCAGTGCCGGGTCATCTTCTGCAATTGTACCCAGCGTCGCCCTGCGGCCCTCTGTCCGTCGCCCTGGGGTAGAAGCTGAGGAAGCGATCCGCGAAATGGCTTCAATATCGAGGCCGGTGACTGATCTTGATGCTTGGCTGAGCGTTTCTGAACCTGAACGGTCCAGGGAAGATCCTGTCGAAGAGCTCTCACTGCCGTCCATTTGTTCGGCACCCTGAGGTGGTAACATTGTAAGATCCCTTCTCGTACGTGTTTCAGATCGTTTCGAGTTGCTCAAAAGTGGGCAACCTCCCTGTAGGACAGACTGCGCTCCAGATTATCGTACATTTTCGGGTGATACGTCTTCTCGCCCCCATTTATAAATCACAGCCAACCGGCGAAGCCCTCTCGGAAGACGAATCACGGATCAGCCATAGGCATCCGCACCCGCGAAAGGGCCGTGTTGTCGTGGAGGGAGATTCATTCACCGTCCCGATTGCTCTACGCTGCCAGATTTGGCACGAGCAATTAAACTTCAGCAACCGTATGATAAGCCCCGTACCCCGGAATTCCGCGACGCCATTGTCCGTAGCTCCGTCGGGTCGAGACAGGCCGATTGCTGGCTCTGGTCCAGAACCGCCAATGACTTTCCTGCCACTTGCTTCTACGGGCATTTAACTTCAAGAATAGTTGCCACATGGTACCATGGGAGGACAGATGGCTGTCGGACCATCTTGAAAGTCATGAGCAAGTGGCTCCTTCTCCCGCCATACTCTCCTATCACGTATCGTTATTTGGGGCACGGAGTCTTGCTCCCTGCGACAATGGATGGACGCCTATCAACTATCAATCCATGTCACCGGGAAGTTTTTAAGGTTATACCACAAACAATGTTCGGTTTCTCTTTCTCTTATGTACCGAACTCCGTCGGGTGGAATGCTTTGGACCGAGTCTCGGCCAGTTCTTGATGTGTGGCGACCAGCCAGCGAATGGAAGCAGTTGTTCTATACATTAGAAGTATCTCTCATGTTCATAGCAAAATATTCTAATTCTCTCTTTATAGATAGGATATCAGAAGAAATGTAGGGAAGGATAGTATTTAGCTATATTATTCTTCCTCTGACAAACATGTACACCAAATGAGGCCATGCTAATGATAAAACCTAGGGCTCAAGCCTCGGTATCAGAATACGAGATGGATCTAAAAATATATAAAAGCGTAGATCGCCCTTCTCAGCCGGACAAATTCCTCGGCTAGATTGGGTCAATTCAGCCCTGAGCTCCAGCATTACTCGAGAATCGAAGATGGCATTAAGTATTCACCATCCTCCTTACCTGCTCAGGACTCTAATATATGAAAATAAAGGCATCCCACCGCAACGGATGAAAGTTGTGGTCGGTGGTGTAGACGGAGGGAACTAGCAGAGGATCGCGTCAACGGCATTACCTCTGTTCGGCATGAAAATACGTTATATGAGATTGAAACATGCTCGAAAGATCCCACATACGCCAAGAAGTTTGAAGTTTGGGAGGATTCCAAAAACGCACAGGACCATGGTGGTCTTCCGTATGGGTACCTGTGTCTGATGAAGGCTTGTGTTGATATTGCTCTGATCTGTTTCCCTCTTGACAGAATGGCACAGGACTGGGATCTAGGGGACGCGCTGGAGATGAGGATCAGTGATATGATAGCAGGAATGGAGATCAGTGATGGGATGTACAACTCACGAAAGAAGAACCCCGCGGTATTTCTGGTTGGGTGTCGAAGCGATTTGCTGGGTGGTGATGCTGTGGATACATCTCGAAGGAAGAATGCCCGGTGGAATCATTATATTACGCAGCTTGTGGCTGAAAGGGGCCTACATGGGTACTTTGAATGTTCGGCAACCACAGGTACTGGGGTGGGTGAGTTGTTTGACGCTATGGTGGATGCCACGCTTCATCCACCCGAGAGAAGACCCAAACTACCCAGAAATGAGTCTATTGCTGGGAAGCGCATGAGACGTTGTATTATTCTGTGATGATCATGTCAACTATCTCAAGGGAACGTCCATTGGGCTTTCCTTGGCAAATGGCCACTTTCATACTGTCAGCTAGGTGCCTGATGCCTTAGATTCTGGTCTTGGTGATGTTGGATTCCCTGAGCTGAAGAGGTCTGGGCACTATAGGTATGTGTGTATCCCTTCAATGGGCTCATCATAATGCCTAATTGTCCGTCCCAGAGACAGGAATTCCATATGATTCATGTATCATCGAACTTCATGCCCAACAACAGCATACCCATGCTTCATTCCCATGCCAACACCTTCTTCTCTGTCCAGCTCAGCTCCAGGCGGGATGGACGGGGCTGAGTGGTTCAGAAGAATCGAACTTGGAGGCATTTCCTCTCCATTGTCTCGCCAAAGCCCCAGATTTGTGTACGCTGCCCGATGCAGGGCCAATGTTTCCTCGACGGCCCACTGATCCCGCTTGTACTTGGTCTTCCCCCGTCGCAGCCAGCCCACTACGGTATCAACTGTGAGCCCAATAATCACAATGAGGCCGCAAATGATGAGGGTGAGAGCCAGTCCAAGGATCGAAAAGTTTTCGTATCCCAAGGCATTATTGATGAGTTGGTTCCGACACGCAGCAGCCGCAAACTGATTAGTTGGAGCAGTGACATTCCACCCGAGAGGTTGACCAAGTGAGTTGGTGGGCAGATTTTATGGTGCAGTGGCCCATTCGTAGGCCCAGGCTTGCTCCTTGGCCAAGGAGGTGGCAAACCACGTTGAAACCTCGATTTGCCATTGGTTCGGGGGGAGATATGATTGAATATTCGTATAGGCCATCATTGACGCTGAGAGTGCTCCTTAGCTTGGGAAAGCAGGGGAGAGAATCTCTGGGTACTTACCATTCAAAGCAGCCCCTCCTCGTCCATTCACATTCGAATACATACTCCTGTCAGTGTTTGCAGAGAGAAACCGTGTGATGGTTTGAAGCTGGTGGATATTGAACCCCAGAGTGGCACCATCAGCCTCGAAAGCAGACTGGAATGTAGTGTAAAGGCCACCAAGCTTGGTGCAGCCGGAGTCACCGGATCGACCTGGGTTGCATACTTGATACTGGTCCACGCATACCAGGAGATTCGTCTCATAGCTCGCCGACCACAACGTCTCACTGTATGTAGTGCCTGGCACGGTGACATTATTCTCTTCCAGAGCTGTGATCCAAGGATCATTGCTGGGTTGCAGGTATGCGATATCGTTCTGATTCAGCATCATCATGGTGATGTCGGCATCGGTTTGGTTGATCCTTGGATCTGGGACCCATGATTGAGCCGCCAGCAGGATGCCCGTGGGATCGGCTTTGGCAAAGACAGCGCTGCGTTTATTAGATTGTACGTTTCCTCGGGTCATCCTGTTGAACGACTCACCTCAGGGTGTAGCCTACCGCATCCAGATTCGGGATGGGGGTGTATCTGAATGTGTAGTTTGTATACATTTCGCCCAGATAGTATTTTGATCCGGCATTGATATAGATTATTTCCCCCCATGTCGAGTCGTTCTGGCTTGTGGCTAGGCCGGATCCATGTTTGACTGGTGCGCAAGTCGTCGCCCGTCTGAATTTAATCCGCTCGCTCGGCCGCGCGTTGATGCCAAAGTCTGAATGCGAATCTAGGAGGCCAGTGTCCATTTGGAATGCCGACTGCTTGTTGTAGGCGCACAGCTCGGATGCAAAAGGGCAGGACGCGTTTGGATTCGTGGTAAATGGTATGCTTGGACGGGCGTATGTCCCGCACATGAGTCCCGATGGGCTCCCCTGATAACATTGACGGACATAGGTCGCAGCTTCGTGTGTATCCTGAAGGGCTTTTAAGTCCATGACAGATATATCCGACGCGTTGTAATCAAAGCCCCCACAGCTTGGACCGATAATGATTGTAGAGTTGCCACCTGACTTCGTGATGTAACTTGTAAAAAGACCAGACACACTGAACAGAAGGATATTGAGGATGGCCAAGATTGCCAAAGGTAGGGACCGTCCCACGGCCTTGGCTCGTGAGGCTGTTCGCCCATTCTCAAATGGCAGCTTGATCAGCGCCCAAGCTGCAGCGGCCGCGCCCTTGTTGCGGAGAATGACCTGGCGCTGGGAGTGCAGTGCATCTTGCCCTTGTGTTGGTACCGTGGTCGAGGCTTGATGAATGGCGAAGCTTAGGATGCCCCAAAACAAGGACCCGGCAAAGGAAACGAGGATGGCCAGAAAAGCACTCAGTACTCCTGCATGCTTCTGTGACAAGGTCAATGTGGCTCCACGGATTGCACCATCAGACCAGTTGATCCAAACCCCAGTGTAGGTGTGGACGGCGTCAGCCATGGTTCTTCGACTCCGATCTGCTCGCTGCTGCTTGGAGAGTTGATATCCAGAAAAGCCAAGCTCCAGGACGAGAGCCTTGGCTTTCGGGCTGATCTTATACTCATAGCTGTCTAAGCCAATCAATCTATTCAGCATATAGCATTCGTATTGAGCTGCCAGCTGAAACTTCAATAATCAAAGCGCCAGCGGATTTCTAATCAGTCTAATCAACATCTGAGCTTTCGACCCAATTGCTCGAATTGGAGGCTTTTGCTTCGGCCATCCAATTCCAGCCTAGCCTACTAAGGTAGAATTGGGAATGCAACTAGTCAGTATCTCTCTACTCATTGGTCGCCGCATGAGAGTCTTGAGACCCTTCTTCGTATCAGCGACACATCGACACATGGCTGACATTCCAATCGTCGCACAAGATTGAGCCTAGACCAATGTGACTGCAGAATGTTTGACAAACAGATTCAGCCCCGTCGTCTTCCCTCCTCAATAAGCTTTGCTTTAACCCGCCCAGGAAATCTGCACGACTACGAGCAACAGGTTACGGTCCATCTGGCCTGTTCTACGGAGTATGTGCTTGGTAGCATGAGGCTAAAAACAGTGAGAGACAACTTCTCCACTTTGATATCTCTACAAGATGTTTTCATGGCTTCCTGTACAGATCCTGCCTACAGGAAATGCTAACTTCTGGACCAGAAACCTTCACAGTACATGCTGGGCTTGCAAGGCCACTCTCTATTAGCACACAGTAAGTCTTAGTAATTACTATGCGTCTTTTTTCACCTCCTTTTGTAGACTTTTGGAGTCTCAGCCTTACTCGGTAGCCAATTCCCTGGAAACGCTGGCAAGCCTCGCCAAGCCTCAAGCGCTAACTCTGCTCCTGTGAATCTGGCAGGATCAGGGAGTATTTGCTGGATATTATTTCTAGGATTCATGTCCCAGCCTTATTCTGTCATCAAAGAAATGGCAGCCATTGAACTTCTCGTCCTGTGTTTGGTCTGGCTCTCGGGCTTGATCAGTGCATCCTCGGTACACGTCACCAGCGACCGCTGAGTATGTACTGTCAACATTCTCAAGGTATTTGAAAACTGGAACTGTTGTCTTCTTGGAAAATATATTAGATTGCTGAGCGCCTAAATCCTTGGTTGAATAGTGTTGTTATTGAATGAAGAGGGACCGGAATGACAAGTTCAAGTCAAGCACAGATGTCGTATCTCACTCTGGTGGCAGTTTTATGATAACTACCTACGCACTGGCATGAAACTTCCTATCTCATTGCGTATCAAACCGCGCAGCAGAGTTTGTCTCGACTGGAGATGGCATTCAATTGTTGACCACGGCGTCGACAGCAGCCATGCAATCCAAATTAATGATATACCGAGCAGGACAATACTCAGATGGCCCTCCCGATGGCATGAGTTGTTCTCCTCAAGATTTTCACTGCAAATTAAAGAAATTACGGAATAGAGGTGTACATCTCTATCCTGCATGGTGAATAGTCGTCTTGTATACAGTGGTTGAATAATGTGTATGGATCCATAATTTAGCAGAACCCTGGGATAAGTGCATGGTTCTTCAGACAGAAATCTAGCATACGGTGCAAGGCTTGTTCTGCAAAGCCTCGGCAGCAGCATAGTAGGCTGGCTTCGCCTCGAGCGTCTCATTGTACAGACAAGCGCCACCCTGTCCCACAAAAAACCCGGGAATCCATGAGTAGGCGTCATCAAAGTCCCAGACCACGACGCCGACGCAGCGAGGTCCGGCCTGCTTGCAACTGGCGACACTAGCATAGTAGTCAGCCGCCTGCTGCTTTTGAGCCTCGGCGGTGTAGAACGGGGCCTGGGAGAAACGGATGTCGAGTTCGGTGATGGCAACGTCAAGATCAACCTCAATGTAGGCCTTCTTGGTAGCGAGCTGGTCGGCCAGTGAAGGAGTCTCGCCCACGATGAAATGGGATTCGAGACCGACTCCGTCAATGCGAATGCCGCGCTTCCGCAACTGGGCCACGAGTTTTAAAACAGCATCCGCCTTGGGACCGGGGTTCTCAATTCCATAGTCGTTATAGTAAAGCTTGACGTTGTGCGCATGAATCTGAGCGAGCGCTTCCTGGGCGTACTGGAAGGCAAGGTAGAAATATTCCTCTCCAATTGTGTCGTACCATACACTGGAGGAGAAGGTACCATCCCCATTGATGGCTTCATTGACGACATCCCACGAGTAACAGCGGTTGCCAAAGTGTTGGACAGTCTTGAAGATGTGATTCTTCATCACTCCCTTGAGCTCGGCGGCGGTCCAATTCCTGGACGTGACAAAGTCGGACACCTGGCTGGCCCAGACGAGGTTGTGGCAGCGGACGCTATGACCATAATGCCCGGCCAAGTCCATGAAGTAGTCGCCTTGAGTGAAGTTGAAGACATTCTGCTCGGGCTCGGTGTACATGAACTATGTGAATTGAACCGTCTTGTCAGCGCCAATACTGTAAGAATAAGGTACCATCCATTCTCACTTACCTTCAAGGCGTTCGCAGGAGTTACTTCGCCGAACTCCCTTTGTAGGATTTTCAGGTAGGGTTTGTTGGTTGTCTCTGAGGTTCCGGGAATATCGGCTGCAGTGCCAAACCATAGCATGCCATTGCGCTGAGCAATCTTATTGAGATTGACGTTGGTCTTTTTGCTCGAGGGCGCTGCCATGGCCAGGCCAGCGAGGAGAGTGGTAGCAGCAAGGGAGAACCGCATTTCGAGTCGCAAGAGGAGAATGATCTGCACACTGTTTGCTTGAACTTGGTAACGGCAGTGACCAGGATGGACAGGCAGGAGGTGTACAGCGCTTTATATACGTCCTCCTCGACGGGAAAGGGAAGGGCAATCGGTTAGTAACTGAAGCCATCGCGTCCTGCATATGACCCGGCTGGTCTGATTCCCGGCTCGAGATTGAGCTATTTCTCCCCGCAGGAACAACGGAAATGACCTTGCGTAGATGCAGGCATTTGCTCTGGGATAGCTGGGGAAATTTAGGCTATTATACCTCCTATAGCCAATGACAATGTGCATCCCGCCCAGGCCAGCTCATGAGGAGAGAGTTCGACACTACCAGATCGTCCAAGGATATCTTCGCTTTTGACGGTATCTAGGAATTTTGCCGACATAACTTGTCAACCTTAGGTGACTTTTTCGTAGCTATCTCAAAGAATTCCCTGCGTGTCGGCAAACGAGGAATTCAGCCGGATGATTCATCCTAAATAGTTATATCAAAGTCAGGATATATGTTGTTTGTATTGCAGGAGACAATCCAAAGCTGGCAATGGGAAAGATCCCACCAAAATATGGATAAGGCCATGACCACGAGATGACCATGGATTAAAGGAAGAAGCTCTTTGGTTGATCTGGGGTTGTGGACTACCTTATCAGGGGTCGTCCTGTGTTTCTACCGCTCAACTAAATGTGCGATGTTTGTTGTTCCTCAGAAAAGTGCCTCAACACCTCAGGCACCATACTCTAAATTCCACCAATGGAAGGAGACAGGTCACATGTTTACCTGCGTCGTCGGGATTTTCAGCTCCGACCGCCGTCCCGCTCCCTTCCTCCCTACATGTTTCCTTCCCTTCAGTTTCATCCCACGCCAGCATCATTGCTTGACTCAAGAGACACAAATCGAACTTGTTGCCAGAATCCCATCGCCTCCTGTCCAACAGCGTTATCTCAGAATCATCAGGATGCCGGCTACCGACGCTCTCCGTTCGTTGATTCTGTCCCAATTGACATGTCGAATGGTTGTGCTAACTTTCTGACTACGCTCCTTAGAGCCCCCACTTACCCCAGCCGAACGGGCCATCGTCAAGAGCTATGGCGGCTGGACCCAGTTCATGCACAGCTTCGGGTTGAAGCCATGGGACTTCGATGATATTGATGAAGCGAAGTCTATTGTTTCGTCTCTTGCTTCTGAGGATTAAGGGTTCGATGCAAGCCTGTTTCCTCTCTCCAAGGCCTTCAGAATGGGTGATGGAATATTGCATTCTTGTTGCCATACAGCCAAGTCGGTTCACTATTTTACTTCCTGTCCCACCTTGCATCGTGACTTGATGGTAGGGGAGAGCAATCATTTCAATACACAAAGGCAGATGCTAACTGGTTCGTTGCCTACACCTAGATAAGCCTCAGGTGGCGGTATAAGTGACAAGCTGCGACGATTTGAAAAGTGGATGGCTATCAACATATGTGAAGAGAAACCAAGGAAACTGGTGGCTAAGCTAGTATCTCGGAATCTCCAATGACAGCGGTCCTTCCTAGACCTTAGAATCTTCTACTAGAATCCAATGAGCAGTCTGGCCTTTGTTTCGGAAAGCTCGAAAGTCATGGTTCCTCAATACTCTGCCAAACCAACCAACTCCCCTTGGATGTGGCCAGTATGAGACAAGTTTTATCAACAGCGAATTTGACCGGCCATTCGAGAATCCTCTCCACTTAATTCATCTGGAGCCGCCGACGGAACGAGCAGCGTCTGTGGGCTTTTCACCTTGATGTGCTGGCTGACCCACGCTTTTTGTCTTTGAATGCCCTTCTGAGCGAATTTGACTGCATCGATGAAATCACAATCCCAGAGTGCTTGACTTGCGGGAGATAGAGCTGTCAGATGTCCTTCGATATAGGTCAGAAACAGATCAAGGGACTGCAGCGCTGACAATGCCTCGTACGGATCGTTCGATTCACCAATCGAAGGGAAGATGCTGTCTCGTAGGCGCTCGGCCACCCGGCGGCCGTACTGTCGGCTCTCGTGGTAACGCTCCACAATGGGCTTGATTTCGTCCAAAACCTCACAGGTGATGCGTCTCACCTGGAGACCGGCGTGGATCTCCATATCATGAACCAAACGAGGGATCATATCTACGTACATGTCGCGCAGCATCTCCAGTGCTTGATCAGTAGCTCCCAGCCACAGCTCCAGCCGACGGATGAGCTTCTTGTCCTTGCTACAGTCTCCTGCACTCATTTCCGCGTCTGGTTTCTTCTGCTCGACACTCCGAATCGCTTTTGTTTGTCGTTCTTCTTCCTTCTGGACGCACTTCTCAATGCGGACGGCGCCGGACTTGAACATCGGTTGTTTGGAAACAGGGTCCCATTGCTCTGCATTCGTTAGCATGCGGCATTCTTGTCAGACTGTCGTCTGTTACCTACCGATTGTGAGCTCATTGGCCGCCCGTGCTCTCCCGTCTGTAGCGTCGAAATACCCAAAGTGAAAAGGAATGAAAACATGTCCTTGGTTGATCCCCCCGATCCTCACTGGGAGCTCAACACTTCCGCGTCGCGATCGAACGACTACCATCTCTCCCTCGGTGAAATGGAGCGCTTTGGCGTCTTCCACTGAGATCTGCACAATCGGTTCAGGATCAGCTTGCTGCAATCGCCTCGCTCTCCCGGTTTTAGTGCGTGTATGAAAGTGGAAGACATTTCGACCTGTGGACAACAAAAGAGGATAGTCCTCATTTGGCGTTTCCAGCGATGGTTTGTAATGCGCCGACTTGAGAATGGCCCGCCCAGCAGGGTTCATCGCCTGGTATTGGGCTTTGGTGTACGGGGCACCGGTCTCCAGATCATGGCCATAGCTTTCACAGTAATCCGTATCCGTGAAGAATTTTCCGTCGTCAAACAAGCGTTCCTTGCCATTTGGAAATTCTTTAGTGCATGGCCACTGGATTCCCGACCCGCCGGTCAATTTCTCGTACGAAATTTCGCTGCAGTCGAGGGGTCGACCGTACGACATCTTCTTCCACTCGTCAAACACCTCTTTGGGTGTGGTGAAGGGAATCAATGGCTCCCCATACTTGTTCTTGAACTCCATGCGCCTCGCATAGTCAAGCCAGATGTCAAGGTCAGCTCGAGCCTCACCTGGGGGCTCAACGGCCTTCATTGATAAATGCATGGTCCGGTCGGCGTTGGTAAAACATCCCGTCTTCTCGGCCCATTGTGCCGCAGGGAGGACGACATCCGCAATGGCCGCCGTCTCGGTCATGAAGATATCTTGCACCACCAGGAACAGCTCTGGTTTGGTGAGAAGATCTCGTACCCGCCAGAGATGGGGCAGGCTGACGAGGGGATTAGTGCCAGATACCCAGAACATCTGGATGGAGCCGTCTTCTATATAGTTGAGCATGTTTTGGATGTGGGTGGGTTGGTTCCAGTGCGGCATGTGCACCAGGTCAATCTTCCACGCGTCGGCTATCTCCTGCATGTGTCTCTCGTTCTAAAAGTTGCGGAATCCTGGATACTCGCCATTACATCCCGTCTCCCGATTGTTTTGAGCCGTCGGCTGGCCGTTCATTTGAAGAATACCACTGCCCGGCTTGCCAATGTATCCCAGCAAGAGATTGATATTGTTGATCTGGCAGGCGGCCGCGGTGGCCTGGTTTGATTGATAGACCCCCTGTAGCGCAGTGGACAGTAGAATTCCACTGGTGCTGATGATCTCGGCGGCTTCTACGAGCATGTTGGCAGGAACGCCGGTTATTTTCTCTACGTATTCGGGCGTATATTTGGCCACTGTCTTTTCCAGTTCCTGTCGCCCAATGGTATGCTGTTCCACCCACTCCTCGTTCACCCAGGCGTTCTTGAAGAGCAAATGCTGCAATCCGTTGAGCAGCGCCACATTTGTCCCAGCCTTCGGCGCCAAGTGAACTGTCGCGTGCTTGGCCGTCTCCGAGTCTCGAGGATCCACGACCACCAGCTTAGGGGGATGGGGTCCGGCCAGGCGATCCAACACACGAGACCACAGCACTGTCTGAGTGTTCGCCATGTTGTGGCCGACCATGAAAATGCAGTTTGTGTAGTCGATGTCTGTATACGAGCCCGGCTGGCCATCGCTGCCAAAGGACTCGCGCATACTGGTGGCCGCCGTTGCCGTGCAGAGGCGAGTGTTGCCGTCCCTTCAGTGGTCAGATACTCTCTTGGACGAAATAGAGCGGTTGAGATGGTCGAAGTGACCTACATGTGCAGTGTATTCAGACCGGCCTTTCCGACCATAGCAAGGACATAATATTCCTCCAGGAACAGCTGGCCGGTGGTGTAGAAGCCAATGCCATGGTTGGTCAGACGCTTTTGAATGTCTTTTGTTTTGTGCACAATTAAGGACATGGCCTCGTCCCAGGATGCACGTTCCAGCTTTCCATTCCGACGGACCAAGGGATGTTTGAGACGGTCCGGGTGATTCATCGATTCCCAGCTGCGGACGTTAGCTGGTGGTTTGGGAGGCTCTGTGGCTGGCTTACCCATGAAGACCTTTGGGCCCCAGTCTTCCCTTGTTGACACGGTCAGTAACGCGCCCGCGCACACCGACTACTTTGCCATCTTTGACTCCAATATCCATGCCGCAGCCGTTGCTAGAAAGATTTCAATGAGGAAGAGATCCTGACCTTCGTACGATGGGTACCTACCTGCATAGCACACAAGCACTCTGCACCCATTTGTCCGGCTCCTCCAGCGTTCGTACGTCGCATCGCGTCGGCCACTGGTGCTTGTACGGCGTACGCTGTCCATAGACATTCGCAATTGAGTCTCGTGTCTCGTATACTTTGGTCGCCATTGTGTTGTAGCCTCACGGCCGATTCTGTATAACGAGGCAATGTGCTTGACAATGGCCAACAACCCACGCGACTGCTAGTCAAGATTTGAATGTGGGGTTTTTATATCAATCATCTCTTGTATATTGGTCACCTAAAGTCATCCGGGATCGCTGATCAATGTGTGGAGAAAGCTGAAGATGAAGCCAAGCGCAGGGACCTCTGCAATGACCCCGCTGACGTAGAGATTCGGCATTTTCGGCGCAGGATCATGGAGATATCTTTGCCTAATAGCGGACTAGAGTTTGCCCCAGAGCTTGTTCTCTGGGGTTTGGGCCTCAAAAAGCTTTGATATTGGTCCAGGAAACGAGGTGAGAGTTCAAGGGCCTGTTACATGGCGGTTGCGGTGACTGCCAAGTGACGCCATCCAACAACACCCGCACTCAGCTCTTCCGCGGCATCAACGGAGGGCCTCAAACAAGGTCTCTTGGAGTCAATTTTCCTGTTTTACGAACAGAAGGTTGGTGTCTAACAGGAATAGTAATAGGATGCAAAGTTGACAATCATCAAGACCTATCGAGAGTTGGGCCTGCTCGTGAGCAGTAAGCCTCGCCCACGATCTTAAAAACACGACATGATCCCTCAGATAATAATGATATTACATTAGGCGGTTCAGACGAGACTATCGATTGAGCTGTGTCATCAGCACCATGGCTATCCTTTATTCCGAGGCACTACAGCTGATTCAGGCGGAGGCTCAGCAACATCACGACGCCTTTGTGGCTGATGGAGAACATGTTCCTATCAGCCATGCGCGGAATCGCGTTGCTCGCGATACCGTAGCGAGCCCCATACCGACCCCAAAATTCGATACATCCGCTATGGACGGATACGCGCTGAGTTCGTCGGCGACACAGGATGCGACCGTCGACCGCCCAGTGATATTTGAAGTCAAAGGCATGATCGCCGCGGGAGATGAGCCTTTGCGGATCGCCGCAAATGAGCCATCGGGAGGCCCTGTCTGCGTGGAGATCATGACAGGAGCTCCTTTTCCGACCAGTGTGAGCGGCGATGAATTGGACTGCTGTGTGCGAAACGAGGATGTGACGGTCACCGTGGACGAAGCGTCCAACCGCCGCTATCTTCGAGTCTTCAAGCCAGCAAAAGCGCAGCAGAATCGAAGATTTGCAGCGAGCGACTTTAAGAAAAGCGACATCCTCGTCGACGCGGGGGAAGTGGTCCATCCGGGCCACATCCTGTCGTTGGCACCTGTTGGAATCACCGAGATTGCAGTCATGCGCAAGCCTCGGGTAGCCGTCGTCTCTACCGGCTCGGAGCTATTGCCACCGGGTCTCGATCAACCGAGCATACATCGGATCAGCGACGCAAATGGGCCATATCTAACTGCGACCTTGGAGAGCTGGGGTGCTTCAGTGGACTTTTTGGGAATCATCCATGATCATGCCGAAACCCTGGAGCGGTCTCTGGGGTCGATTCTGAGAAAGAAGGAGTACGATGTGATCATCACCTCTGGAGCTGTCTCCGCCGGCCGATGCGACTTGATCCCTGTCGTGGTTCATCGATTGAACGCTCGCGTCGTGTTTCACAAGGTCGCCATGAGGCCGGGCCATCCCGTGCTTTTCGCCCAGATTCCCGATCCTTCAAGCAATGATCAGAATCTCGGGAGAGAAACGGCCTTTTTTGGGTTGCCAGGGAACCCCGTGGCCAGTGCGGCCTGCCTGCGCTTCCTGGTTCGTCCATACTTAAGATGCTTACAGCTGCAGCGACCGGATGACCTATCGCATGCATATCTTCTACCTCCTGACGAGGGTGAGACTTCAGCGATTAAAGAACCTCCGATAGTATCTACATTTCGTGGAGACATGGACGTCTTTCGACCGGCATTGGTCCGCGGCTCGTCAGGCCATGTACAGGTGAAACTCATACAGGATCACAGTCCAGGAAAGATTAAGCCTTTTCTGCATTCAAACTGTTGGATTCATATTCACAGAGGCGTTTCCGAGTTGAAGGCAGGTGACATTGTTGACGTTTACCCAAGCCACTGATTTCCTCGTCGTGCCGACAACATCGCCCTCCCTCTGTCAACTCGCTCGGGGTTTGGCCTCCCTCATATTGGAGGCCAGCTCCAAATCTGCTCGCGTATTGACATTGAATACCCACTTCTCCTCGCGTGGTCGAATCATCTGGCCACGCATGCGCTTCACCACCGCACTGGGTCCGAGGATTCCGTTTTGAATGTTCTGTCCGAGTGCCTGCAGTGCCCCCGGAGACCAGATACTCAGTAAAGGCTCACAAAGGCCATCTTTGTTCTGAAAACAGGTCACTGGCGCAGTCCACTCGCGTCGAAGTTGAGACAGCGCGGCGACAGATATGAATGGATAGTCACAAGCAACTACCAACCAGTGAGCACTTTCATCCTCGTGATGTGCAGCCAACAATCCGGCTGCCGGGCCGATTTCGGTGCTGTCATGCTCGCTGGATACTCCGGAACTGTCGTAGACTACATGTACATGGAAAGTGACAGCCCCGTGGTTGAGAATCAGTTGATTGTTCGTGATGGCGGTGATACGGCGATCGTTCTCAATGGCTTTTAACGAGTCGAGATCTCGCAATGATAGGAACACCACTTCTGATTCGGGACAAGCCTTGCGTAGGATGATCAGCAGATGTATGAACAAGGGGACATCACCGACGACATGTAAGAGTTCTTTGCGAGTGCCCATCCGCGATGAGTGGCCCCCGGCCAGCAAGAGTGGTTTCAGAAGAGCCATGGCGGATATTCAGGTAGTAGATAGTATTCTTCTGGATACAAATACAGGACAATTGAATCCCTGGTTATCCCTGCTTTTAAAGCAAAACCACGTGGGGAACGCAACCTTCCAGTCAAAATGACGACATACACGCGGCCTTGAATGTGACCTGATAGTGTCCAAGACTCCAATTCATATGGCGGTCATATCATTCAGATTACATACATTAAATCCATCTTATCAGACAAGACATTTCACCATTGCTTCCTCCTAGTTCAACTGCGACTGTTATCCCCTTGGTTGCGCTGTTCCAACATGTCACTGTCGAACCGAGGATCGAGTTTGTTCAGGACCTTGTTCGAGTGAGGCTTGGAGGTTTCGGGGGCGGTCGCTTTGGCTCCGGGGCCGCCAAAGGCCGGGGCTTGAGAGGTGTCTTTTGCTTGGTTTTGATCAGAAACCTCGGATGAGTCGACGACGTTGGATGCCTGCGTAGGATCACGCTGGAAGGTGGGTGGTTGCGACATCTTGGTAATTCTGACACGGTGTGGAGGGTGATATGAGAGTGGAGGATATAAGGAAGCAAGTTCAGCTCGCACGACTGCTTAATGGCTTTGATTCAGTTCATCCTTCACATCCGAATGCCATTATATACCTCGACACTGCCGACCCTGCCGGCTGTTACATCATATTGATGTTGATCCAACTCTCAATCCAGGAACCCGCCACTATATACCCTGAGATGCCAACTGCTGAATTTCTCTGCGGAATGCCATTATTTAGTCTAGCTTTGCAATAGAGCACTGATAATATTATCGCCAACATCATTTCCAGCATGAAACTTCCAGCCGTCAATATGCTGCCATGCACCCCAAGTTCTCGGATATTCCCAATCAGGTATCCCGGAAGAAAGATTTGATTGGACAATGCAAGGACGTCATGATAGAAACGGATCTGATTGGTTAATTTCAAAAAAATGACGTCAGCCTAATCTTGCAGCAGATTATGCCTGAGGCCTCTAAGAGATGCCTTGAATTCTGCTGTTGTCTAAGGCAGCGAGAATGAAATCCCTGGTATATCTGAATAAAAAGTTGCTTCGGGCTTCTGGGACACTTCATGGATTATATTGAGGTAGGTAAACTCAGGTTCAGTGCTGTATTTGGCTCGATATATAGTATTCGTCGAACTGTGGGATGTGGTGCAACGGGATACAAACACACAGTAGAGGCTCGAAGTCACCGAAGTAGATCTCAAGGAATGGGGCATGGAAGATGAGGACGTGCAATGGATGCCGGCAGATCGCCAAGGGATCAACTTTGCCATTACTCGCGTCTCATGATTCTTCAAGACAGGAAAATGTCGATGGATCACTTAGTTCTTCATACCCTCAAACACTCCGAGAAATCCCTGCAGCAGTCTTACACACTCACCAATCCGATTAAGAAACGGCGCACAGTGACTGCAGACCATCTCCTCCACCATCCAATTCTTCTGGGTAGCGGCGATCATGCCACGCTGTGCCCCCTCGGGGACGGCGATGTCCATTGTAGGAATAATAAACGCCAACCTTCCGGCATAAGCCTGGTCTGCCCAAGCGGGAGCAGATTGGGGGGAGTTGAACGCCAATGTGGAATGAGGTCTGATGTAACCTGCAAGATCTTTGACCACTTCTTGACTAATATCGGCGGCAAAGTTGGCAACAGGGTCTTCGGGGAGGTTCACTTTGTCGTAGGGCTACAGAACATCACTCATGTGTTCACACTCACCCAACCCCTAGGAAAAGAGTGGTAATACCTTGTCCAACAGAATCCATGGTGGGAGATTCCCTCCCTGCAATCCCGCACAACTTAATCCTTCTGGAACTAGGAAAGCAGCGATGAACACCATTCCTATGATGCCACCAGACTTGCCTTGTTGCCTTCGTTCTGTTTTAGCAAGTCCCATGGCAGCCGCGGCTCCAGGCATTCCTGCATAGGAATGCATCACCAGAAGGACATCGCGGCCCTCATCTTCCACTAGCGGGCGAATGACGCTGGCGATGGCCTCAGAATCAGCTTTGCAGTCTGCGCTCGTGGGATCCGCGGGGTCCAGAGATGGATATTCAGCATAGCGGACAGGATACCCGGCTGTGGTGAGAGCTTTGAGGAAAGGGCGGTAAAAAGCTGGAGAGATCCATGCACCGGGGACGAGGACAATAGTGGTCATTGTATCATCATATGAACGGGTGGAAGGAATACGAGATGAGATCAAATGTGTTGAGGTGAATCAGACTCTTAATATGTGGATATGATATTGGCAATTAGCAGAAAAACGAGCCCAGAACGCCATCTCATTTCCCCTTTCAAGGATTCCGATCCCGCCCATGCTCTATAGTAGGGATATCCCATGCTATAGTATCGACTTCGAATGCTATAATAGTAGGGATATCGAATACTATAGGAGGAATATTGAATTCTTATATGGTAGGGACAAGGGACATCAATATCAAATACTAGTATAGTATCCCTACTATACTAGCATTCGAAATCCCTAGTAGGTATTAGGGGGGTATTTATACAAAGTACATATAGTAAGGAGGATATTGCTACTTATATATAAGTTATGATAAGCCTAAGTATATCCCAGATAGAGTTAGACCTAGGCTTATATAAACCTAGACCTTAAGTAACTATTCTTTGTAATGTTATTTCCAGATCTGATGAAGCCGAGCATGTAAAACGATACCATATCGCGGCTTTACTTCACGTCTGCAAAGGGAACCCGAAAATGTACGTGCGATTGCGACCCCCAATTCTTATTCCCGGTCTCGCTCGGAGTATCGAGGGGTAGATAGACATTTTGTCGTCTATTTTAGTTAAACTATGCATAGGAACATACATCGATCGTATAACCCTCCATTCCAAGCTGTGAGTAGGTACGCAGTACCTAAATCCACGCTAAAGTACTCTCAATCTCTCCCACTTTTCAAGAGCCTGGACATATTGAGACCGCGTCTTTTCCAGCCTCGCGCGCATGCGAATATCCGTTTCGTCTTCCCCGGCAACGGTATTCAGTTCCCCGTCATCTAGATTAGCAAAAGTCTTGACAGAGACGATGAGCATGGGGCATTTCGGTCCTAGCACATGTCGCTCGACGACTTGCATCGCTACATTGTCAATGAATCGGTACAGCGCAATTTTGTAGTATGACTCCAGCCTTGCACGGACAAAAAGCACCTGGCTCAGCAAAGTCGAGATAAAACGTGACTGGGGGCCGTAATCGCTAGGGGCCCCCACACTCTCCCTGTTTGTTGCGTGGTCAACAGATTGGGCCATTGTCGTCTTCTTGCCGAGTAAGATCTCGCCTCGTTGCTTATCTGCAGCTATAGTCTCAGATATCAACGTGGGGTCGCGAGTCACGAGCGGCCGGGCTTGATTATCCTCGATAAGTTCGCGGAGAGCCGTGTCTGCATCTTGGTTCCACTCTTCCAGCGTCTTTCCAACAATGCGACTCACTTCCAATCGCACTTTGCTGTTGGGTATGGCTATCCTTAAAAGTACCTCGTGGCAGTTCTTGGCGAGATCTTTCACATCTTCAACAAAGCTTCGAGCAATCCCCTCCCAATGTGTTGACAGCTTCCGGAACATCTTCTCCTCCACATCTGGGTGGATGCTCCCGGGAAGGCTGCGCCCCTCGCTGATTTTGGCTTCCTTGTATATCTCGGAATATATACCAGGGGCATTCATGACTTTTTCTTCCCACTCCTCCGGGTTCATCGAGCTGAGTATTTTCAGGTCGTCCTGATAGCTCGAAAATAGAATTGGCATGTTATCTGGGCTCACCATCTCTTTATAGAACTGATCAAGACGACGCTGCACTCGGTATCGAAGCATGATCCTCGGATCCTCCGACGGTACATCTTGATATTGGCCTCTCAGAGTCGCATTCGCCATTTTCTGCATTTCGTTACAGAATTGGAAGACGAAGTATCGCTGGGCTTTAGGGCTATCACGGGTCTCTCCCATTCGGTTAAGGTCTGATTCGCAGTCCTGAAGTTTCTGACGGATCTCTGCAATGATGTGGGGGAGGCCTGACTGAATCTGGGACCGCCGCTCCTTGTCGACGTATTTCATCAACGATCGTATGCCTGTCCTATCCTTCGCCACTCCCTCCCAAGCCTTTTGGGCGAACTCGATCGTTTCTCGTTCGTCGCGCTCAGCGTCTGTGATATGGGTCTCAGTAGGTATCCTGTTCCGCAATCCGAACCAGCCGTGGTCCAGGTGAGGAACAGTAGGCAAATCATTCTGCAGGAGTTTGACCATCTATGATATAGGAGCACTTAGCGCCATAAGGCAGATAGAAATGGCCGAGCGGATACACATACCCAATCATCGGAGCCTTCCTGCTTGCGATCGCATTTTGTGAGCACGCCAATGCATCGGCTTTCCAGTCCCGGTACGTCTTCAATTAGTTCAAAAGTTTTGTGCCGCTCCACGTCCACATTGTCAATAACCACCCTGGAAGTTGTCAGCTTTCGTAATTAGGTAGCCACAGATCTCGTCCGACTCCGTACAAGACAATATTCCGTTCGTTTGCTAGGTAGCTGCGAGCCAGCTCCCATGCAACTGCCGCATTAGGCTGCGCATGTGGTTCTTCCTCTGCTACACGATCTTGCTTCTTACTCTTTTGGCCCTTCCGTATGAGACCCGGGAGATCGACGATCGTCCAGTGCATCTCGTCTGGGCCCGACCGCTCAATTCGGAGTGTGGCGTCGCTCAGACTCAACTGCTTGCCTGGCTTCCGTTCGCCGAAAATACACTCCGTTGCCTAGCTGCATGAGCGACGAAGGACATCAGTCTATACTTATTCAACACACCTCACCTATGATCTCTTCCATCACTTCCGAAGTCAGCTCCTCCTTTTCAATCGTAAAGTCTTGTATGCGAATGAGAAGCGCCTCGTCATTCTCGGATAGTCGTCCCGGCGCAATAGTAGCCTTAACCGGGTATTTATTGGAGGCGGAGGTCTGTCTGAAGGAAATCTGAATAGGGAAACGAGTGCACATAGTGTCCTTGACTGGGAACGAAACTTCGGTTATGGCTTGGAGCACCGAGCTCTTGCCGGTACTCTGGTCTCCTACTACCACAAGCTGATATCGTTAGCCATGGCCAGGTCATCATTCAGCTGCGGCCACTTGACTTACCTCTGGCAGATTAATTGTGCTGCTCAGCCCAAGCTCCTGAAGCTCATCGATAAAGGCCAGCTGCTCTGAGCTTTCGACTCCGACGAAGTGGCGTACTCGTTTTCCCATGATGACGGCTCTGATAGTATACCCACGGTTGCAATGCTATCATGAGTTCTCTCCCAATCGCAGTCAAGGGAACACGTCGAATTTAAGTCCATGCTGCAAGCCCCGACGACGAACAAAACATTGTGTACCGTCGCTATTCTCGGCTCAAGTCTTGCCGCAGTCGCCATGCATTAGTAGCTACACTAACAGCCGCTAAACTCCAATCCCAGTACCCGTGAGAACCGTCTATTTGTTGTTGAGCTAGTAGCGCTCACCCCGCGCCACGACTATCAATGATTGTGGACTTCACCCCTGATACCACTTATCACTCAGGAGTATTAGTCTGACAGATACAGCAGGAGCTACATATCCTGCTCATTAGTTTGTTCTCAAGTCCCACTCTTGAGTCAGCTCGAGTCTGCCTTCATTCAGCCCCGCAGAGATAAAAGCATTCAGTCAGGAAGTCTCAATAACACAAACATCGAAGGTTTGATTTTTCGAAGAAAGAAAAAGCTAAATATAATCAAATCGACGTGCCAAGCAATTAAAGTAAAATCCATGTGATTCACGAAGACGATGACGACTAGGAATTCCAGCCTCGAAACCGCATCTAATTCCACACTAATATTCATGGGATATGAAATTTCCTTATGATCTAGTGGAGACCATGACTAGGCATCCCAAACAAGACGCGCCTCTTTGCCAGGTGCCTAAGAACCCGCACCGGTCCGCGCCGAAAGCAACTCTACTCCCCTCACACAATGATTGGTGAACAGGCCAAAGAATTAACAAAGGCATGTCTAGTTTTCATTGTATACCCTCAGATGGTGTCAAGCCCGGTCAAATAGTGGATCTCCTGCGCCCCTAAGCATGCCTGTAATCTGATTGGTCGCTTTGAAACCGCTTACCTATCTAGGTAATAAGACCACCAGAAAATTTTGAATTCACTACTCTCTGGAACGTAAGGTTGTATCCACACCTAGATATCCACTCCTACCTACCTAGCATACCAACCAGCAACCATGGATATCACCTCCCTACTTTATCAGCTAGATACGCTACCATCCAGCCTGATACCATCCAGCCCAAAGAAGCTGGATAGTAAGAGGTCTAATACTGTTAAATCTGAAGCATCACTAGCTAAGAAGTAAAGGATGATGTATAAGGAGAAGGCAGAGAAGATTCTTAGTAAGATTCCTAATATTAAAAGTGTTAAATTTAATTAGACATCGCCATAACCCACAAAACCCACGACCCAACCCAACCCAACCCACGATTGGGTTGGGTTTTGGGTCCATTTCTACAACCCACTATGGGTTATGGGTCAGCGTGGGTAACCCACAGTGGGTTGTTGGGGCCCTAATTGGGTCATAAACAATACAAATAATAGGAAGACTTGTGACTGCATAATTTGTGCAATTTTCGTCTGTATTTTTTAGTATCTCTCTTACATCTAGATTTTCTGGATAAAAATGAGATTTAGGATCAAATGAGTTTAAATTAAGAGAAACTACCACGTATACTATCGCTAATAATATGTATATTGATCATCATCATATCTTCTACGCTTCCGGGCTCTTACTGATGCACGAATCTGAGTATTTCCCTCCTCAGATGTTGGTAGAGGAAGCTCAGCTTCATGATCAGATGTAATAGCATGCTCTGTCTCCTCCATCTCCTCCTCTTCCTCCTGTGTGCCTTGCTCCTCGGTATTACTGATCAGATTGAGATCAAACTGACTAGGTGTATCCTCTCTTTCTTCCTTTGCTGCTTCAATCTCATCATGAGAGAAGAACTCCTTCAGAAATATAGCCTGTTTGTCTTTGATATTGAACTTTGAAGTACAAAGGAACATCATAAGCTCCTGGATTGTCACAGCATTTAATCTTCCTCGGCGATAATGACAAATATCTCGAGCAGTATTAAATAGCCGTTCAACACCAGCACCAGTTGCAGGAACTGAAAGCACGTCTCGCGCGAGGGCTGTAAGCGCTGGAAAGCGACGCTGGTTATCTTTCCAGAATGACAGAGGCGAGATATTAATAGTATCTATTAAGTGATTAATATCATATAATCTAAGCTTTTAATTGGCACATACCACTGTCGAGATATCGTGTAAGTTCATTACACGGCGCTGTTGATTGATAGTCACTTTCATTTAACATCATGTCAAGGCGTGACCCTATTCTGGTTGACACTAGAGAGTGATGCGATGTCTGTTTATTGGCAAGACGTTCCTGGTATGGAACCAGATATTCTTTGAAGCAATTCCGATATGTCTTGCGCCATTTGTTATCCCAGTCCTTAGTCAAAAAGAACTTGAACTTATTTACAGGCGCGAGCATCGTGCTGATTGCATAAAGGTGCCCTCGGATATTATCCGTTTCGGAGTAATAGGTATCGAGCTTCTGCTGAGCGGCCTTTAGCGCCTGGAGCATCTGTTTCTTCCAGGTAATCTTTTTCCGTTGAAGTTGGGTAATTGACTGCTCAAGATGCTCAAAGAGTTTGTTATAAATCTTAAAGACATGATGTGTAGTAGCATCCTTCGTCTTTGAGAGTTCATTGGTAAACTCAAAGAATGGTTGCGTGATCCAAAGAAGGTAGTCAATCTGGCGCCATTCTTCGTCATCAAGCACTAAATCGACACGATCATATTCAGCACAGAACGGGGCAAAGATAGATCGTAGTCGCTTTGCGCGTCGAAGCATCAGGAATGTAGAATTCCAGCGTGTCTTGACATCCTGGATTGGCACAAGTTTTGTTGATTCAGTTTGTAAGTTATAGAACGTCTCCCGGCGTTGAGGGCTTGCATTGACGTAGATAGCAAGGTTACGAATCTAGATATGTAGTTATTAGTATTATAGTACATAACTTAGAGAGATATCCACATACCTTGGTCAACGTATTAGCAATCTCCCGCTTCATCGCATTAGTACGGGCTGACTGAGATCGCTGCTCTGTCCATTGTGTCTCTGTTGTCTTATTAAGCGGAATGGCGTTTATATTTCTAAGGAGCTCGTTAAGGCTTAGTTGAATGACATGTGCAAGGCATGGAACATGAATCAGAATGGTATCATCTGATATTGACTGCTGTAAAGTATTAATCAGGGTCCGGTTATTTGATGCATTATCAGTTGTGATTGCAAACACCCGATCCTCAATCTTATGCTGATGAATGATATCTAGGAGGACACTACTCAAGTTGGCACCAGAGTGTGTTCCATGAAGTGGTTCAAATCCAAGCAGAACCTCACGGTACTGCCAGTCCTCATCGATGAAATAGCCACTAACCGCCATAAACGCCTGAGAGAATGGAGACGTCCAGCAATCGAGCGCAATCGATAGCTTTGCATCATCAGGAAGTTTCTGAAGAATACCTTGTTGTCGTTCTTTCACAGAGATTTGTAGCCGACGTCGAATAGTCTTTGCAGAAGGAATCTGAGGACTTGATGGAGCAGATTGCGCCATTCGGATCAAGCTATGGAACTTGGGATGCTCGATAAGCTGAAATGGAAGGCGAGCGACCGTTAGAAAGGTCAGAAGCCTCTCTTCCTAAGCCTCTTGAGTGAATTCACGGTTGACCGGAGAATCCTGGCCCTATAACCCATCAATATTAGCAGAAAATCCTACTAAATACAAAGTAGACGAAAAGCTCACTATTTTCCGTATAAACTTTGTGATATCTGACTTCTGCACCTTACTAGCTCTTAAACAGCTAGCAGTATTAAGGTGTTTTGACATTGTTGAAGTGCCTTGACGCTGTTTCTTCCCGTCATTTCCCTCACGTAGAGTATAAGGATGCTCCAGAATCTGACCGCAGCGCTTACACATAACCTTTGGCGCACCATCAGAGCTATTTGCGACTTGGTGAAAATGACTCCAAGTAGTTGATTGATGGTTTGAGTCCCAACGGATCTTACTCTTCTTCCCGAAACCTGTTTCAAGCCACCAATCCACCCAATCACTATGAAGCATTTCGTCGTAGAGAACGTACGCCTTTCTTCGATCAGGGCCAACACGCGTGAGTGAGGAAGGGATCACAGGGGGGGGAAGCGGTCGAAGAAACTCCGGATCAAAGGAATCAAATGTTTGCTGGCTACTGGAGAGATCAGATGTGAATATCTGCGGATTCTCAGGTGTAAGATAAGCAATATTTTCTATATCGCCATCATATAGGGATGAGTAGTCAGATTGCTGACTTTGAGACATCATAACACGAAGCAAGGAAACATCAAGGGGTAGATAGTAAGAGGAAAGAGAGAGACATACAGAGATCTACTAAGCTGGTTAACTTAGTGATAAACAGAGTGTCAGACGCGTTGATACATCATAACATTAGACCTATAGACCCTTGAATTCGTCTGCAAATTGGTCAGGCGTAATAGGTTTAAGTGGGTAGAACCCATGAAAACCCATGATTAACCCATAAGAACCCACACTAACCCACGACAACCCATACATAACCCATTGAAACCCATAAGAACCCACTAAAAACCCATGAGAACCCACTAAGAACCCACTAAGAACCCATAAGAACCCATAAGAACCCACAGAAACCCATAAGAACCCTTAGAATGAAAGAAACTGAATTGTGATGAAAGCAATTCATTTGGAGTGCTGCACTCCAAATGAATTGGGATGAATCCAGCAACTTTTAACACCATTTCATAGTATACTCTATATTAGACATCGCCAAAACCCACGAATGGGTCGAAGACCCCGACCCACGACCTAACCCACGACCCAACCCATAACCCATCGTGGGGCCCCATTGGGGCCCCATGAAAACCCAACTTTGCATAAAATTCAGGTCTTAGCAGTCATAAAACTGCTGATTCATCTTAATAAAATACTGTTATTTATCACTGTTTCAGTCACCATCATCATTAACAGCACTATTCAACTACAACACTCGCGAAATTTAAGAATATTCCTTTGTATATTAATAAAATAAGGATAGTAATAGCATATTTACCTAAGTTTAACTGTCTACAACTATGTTCTGTTAGTATTAAGGTGGT